CCCACCTTGGCCTCCCAGAGTGCTGGGATTACAGGCATGAGCCACCACGCCCAGCCAGAATTTTTTTTTTTTTTTTTTGGCTCATCAGCTATGCTTAGTGTTTAGTGTATTTTATGTGTGGTCCAAGACTATTCTCCTACCAGTGTGGTCCAGGAAAGCCAAAAGATTGGACACTCTGATATAGACAATGACGGATGGGCACCGAGACCAAGGAAGTCACTGGCTGCACAATGTTCTTTGTAGGAATACCAGAAACCTATGAGCCATAGAGTGGTGTTTGCTCACTTTGGGCCCCAGATAGCAGGCACTGGATGAGGGCCAGGCTAGCTATAGGAAGGACAGTGTGAGGGGGTGGACAGAGAGGAGAGTCAGGAGTAGGTGGAGAGGCATCGAAACTGACGCCATCAGTGTGAATTCTAAATAGTGTATTTATTGCATGCCTTCTCCACGCAGGTGCTTGTCCTGGTAGGGGTGGGGCGTCAGGGAGCAAAAGCAGACATGGTTCTGCCTTTAAAAGCTTAAACAGGGTGATGGATATTAACAACAAATTTTAATCGTGATAAATGCTACAAAGGGAAAGGGCAGTGTGTGGAAAAGCCTCTAACAGTATAGAGGAGTGATGATCAGGGAAGGTTTCCTGTAGGAAGTGACATCTATAAGATGAATAGGAATAAACTAAAGGAGAGGAGCGTTCCAGCCTGAGGTAACATGTGCAGAGGTTTGAGGTGGGAAGAAATATTTCAGGAGCGGAGCAGTGATCAGTGTGGCAAGACATTTAAGGGTGAGGAGAAGAAAGACAGGAGAGGAGGGTGAAGGGGTAGGGCAGGGAGGGTATGTCCCAAAGGACATTGCAGACTGCTTTAATCTTTATTCTAAGAGCAAGGAGAAATTATTGACAGGTTTGAAGCAGGCCAGCAACCAGCTCGGAGGTGCGTTTTGAAACGCTCACCACTCTGGCTGCCGTGTGGAGAATGGATTAGGAGACTAGACAGGCTGCGGGCAGACCACCAGGAAGACAGTGCAGCATTCAGGGGCCTAGAGGGGGAGCTGAAACCAGGCAGAGGTGGAGAGAAATGGACACATTTGGGAGAAGAACTAAATGTGAAGAATAGAACTGGAGGCATTTGGTATGGTGGTTTCCTCTCTGTGAGCTGTTCACGTAAGATTCATGGAAACATGCTTCTGTGACTGAAAGGGTCTCCTGGGTCATCTGGACTCAGGGTGTGGCAGGCTATGGCATAAATCAGTGGTTTGGTAACCAGCTTTTGTAAATAACTAAATCAGAATAGAATGGAATAAAATATCAGAGTCTTAACATATTTAGTAAGGGTAAGTTCATACACTTCTTTATGGATGTGTGCATATTATACTGAGTTGTAGGGTAAGATATATCTCTTACCATGGGCCATGGACTACAATGTTTGAAAGTCACTGTATTTCAGCCTCGTGCTGGATAAGGGAGGGAGGGAGGCAGTAGCACAGAAGGATTCACCAGTGCTTCTTGTCAGTGGGTCGTTCCCAGGGGGTTTACAGAGTGTGAGGACCACGTCACCTCCCTTTGAGATCCCCCGGTGGTACACCAGACTCATCATAGATGCTTACAGAGCGTTGGGAATTGGACATGACAGCTGGCTGCGGGGTATATGAGGAGGGTGCCAGGTCTTACAGGGAGGGCCTTGTCCCACTACTTCTTGCCTTTCAGAAACAGCATTGCGGCTTCTGCTGTCTGCGCCTTCAACCTCAGTGCTATCTCCCAGGCTTTCAATGGCCCATTTCGCTACCAGGAGAACCCCAGGGCTGCCTGGCTCCCCATCGCCAACCCCATCCCCAATTTCCAGGTACAGAATCTCCTCCTGTTTCCCTGTCTTCACTCACTGCCTTTCCCCCAGATTACCAGCCACAAGCTGATTCCCAACTGCTTAGCAAAGACAGACATCAGCTCCGTTCCTGCCAGTCCATGCCCATCTCTGGGATCCACAATGGTTTCCTGATGGTATTAGCCTGTACCACTGTGAGGGAGAAAGGGAGAGTGGGTGAGGGGCAGGGCGAGGAAGCATGGTCGGAGCCATCTCTAAATGTGAGCCCATACCTCCAGGGAGGCAGGGAAGTGGGACCTCAGCTCTCCACAGTGTAGAGGACCAGGAAAGCACTACACAAGCTGTCTGGCTGGAATTTGGGGATATTAGCCAGAGCTTTCTCGCAGTGTGTTCAACATGGCTACTAATTCCCAGCCGTGGGTAGTGTTAGCATGCCCCATCCTGTAATGGAGAAGGGGAAAGAACGAGGGGGCAGAGGAGGCTGCTGATGGTTGACTTTCATGTTCACCCAGCTTCCCACCCAGGGCATGGGATGGAGCAGGGAAAGACCTCAAGCTTTGCAGTCCTACCATCCTGACCCCGATCTAGCCTATCTCTTTCTGACCTTGGACAAAAAAAGTCATCCAACCTCCTTCAGTCTGTTTTTCCTTATCTGGAACTAGGGATAATACCGTAAGAGATAACACCTCACAGATAATGTCTGAAGGTTCATATGCCTGGAATGTAGGAGATGCTTGGTAAAAAGTGGTTGGCTTCCAGCTTTGGTTTAGAAATCATAAGGACTTTGAGCTGGCAAGGACACAGCAGAGGGACAGCAGGGCTTGGCCCAAGGTAGGAGGGGGCACCTGCAGCAACAGCATAAAAATCACCAGACACTCGTCCACACTCAAATTATCCGTTTTTAGATAGTCCAGTCCTCTTTGCTCTTCTCCTTCCTCTTCCCCAAACCTGGCAGGATCCTCCTTCCCCTTCTCCCCAGCCTCCTGTTCTTAGTTCCCAAAGAAGAGGCATCCCACCCTGGAAAGGGTGCAGGACGCCCAGCAGGGATGCTGGGGGTGGGGGATGCTGGAGAATCAGCGTCCGCTGCTGCGGCCACCTGGGTTGCCAGGAGGAGGGAGCCGGCGGGGGATGGCGGCAGCCCCGGTGGCCGGGCGCGTGTGACCTGCCTCCCCGCGGCAGTGTGGCACCCTGCCTGAGACCGGTCCCAACGAGAACCTGACGGAGCGCAGCCTGCAGGACGCGCAACGCCTCTTCCTGATGAGCGAGGCCGTGCAGCCGGTGACACCCGAGCCCTGTGTCACCCAGGACAGCGTGCGCTTCTCACACCTCGTGGTGGACCTGGTGCAGGCTAAAGACACGCTCTACCATGTACTCTACATTGGCACCGGTGAGCCGGCCCGGCCCAGCCTGGACTGCAGGTCGGGGGTGGGTTGAGGTTGAGGGTTGGGGCAGGGCTGCAAGCTTCCAGGGCCTTCAAGGCCACCTTGGTCTGGCTCTCCCTCTCTCCCAGAGTCGGGCACCATCCTGAAGGCGTTGTCCACGGCGAGCCGCAGCGTCCGCGGTTGCTACCTGGAGGAGCTGCACGTGCTGCCCCCTGGGCGCCGCGAGCCCCTGCGCAGCCTGCGCATCCTGCACAGCGCCCGCGCGCTCTTCGTGGGCCTGAGCGACGGCGTCCTGCGGGTCCCACTGGAGAGGTGCGCCGCCTACCGCAGCCAGGGGTAAGCCGGGACGGGGGCGAATCCCGAGGCCCCCACTGCGGAGGCGGTGCTTAAGAGGCGGGGCTTTGGACCCGGGAGACCTGGGGTCGGTCCCTGCAGTCTCCACTAGTGTGCCTTAGGACGAGTCACTCCACCTCTCTGAACCTTGGTTCTCTCCTCGTAAAACATCTTGCAGGGTTTTTGTGAGGGTTAATTGAGATAATCTCCTCCAGGTACTGACCTGGAGGAAGTGTGTGCTTAGGGAATTTTGGTGGGTGGCTGTTTTTATCTCTGTTGTCACATAGCTAGGGTCAGTCAACCATCTCTAGCCCACTTGATTTATTCTCAGTCCCTTCAGTACAGAGAGGTCTTTATCTTTGAAGCCACAGCACTTATTGCCCGGATATGGGGCAGATGGAGATGGTGCTTTAAGTCAGCCCCACGTTTTTGCTCCTCTTCCTTCCTTCCTTAGAAGAAGTAAAAAGGGCTGCTGTAGGTAGGGCAGGGGTGAGGCGCTACGTGGCGGGGTTGCCCTGGCTTCGCACTGCTTCTGAACTTGGTTCTTCACACCATCGCTTCAAGCGGACTCACAGATTTGACAACTGTGGCATCAATGTTTAAGGGGGAAATCAAAGCCTATTCCAAAGCCAAATGGAAATGTAGCCCAGACTCCTACCACCCGAGGCTCTCCCAGGCTGCATCGCCTCATTTTCATGATACTCAGAAGCTGGCATCGCCACAGCCATGCAAGCTTCTGTGGCCTTTGCAACTGAGAGTCCTGGCTATGCCATCTGTCCTCAAGATTCGGAAGACAAATGGTATCCATGATACAGGGCTGTTCTTCAGCTCCAGTGGGGTGTGCTAGGAGCTGGGCAGAGGCCCGTGGGGCCAGGAGGAGTTGGATGGTTTTGGTGAGGCAGCCAAGGAGGGGGGGTCTCAGGGCAGACACTCCAGCTCCTTTCAGCCCCAACACAGGGCTCCATCAACAAGACACCACACACTTACTAAGCCCTACCATATTCTGGGCGCTTTGTAAGACTGTTGGTGTGAGAGAAGGCAAGAGAAATAATCCCCAAACACTGACTTCTCTCAGATCTCCAGATATCTGGGTGGGAAGAGAACCTCGGCCTATATCAGACATGTGGGGAGAGATGGTCGGGTATGGCGGGAAGGACTCCAGTGGTGGAACCAGACACACCTGGGGCTCCATCTCAGCTCCATCATCTACTCACTATATGATCTTGAACAACTGAATCTTTTTGAGCTTCGGCTCTCTCATCAGGAAAACGGGGAGACATTTGATGGAACAAATGATGTTTAACGCAGGCAGAGTTGTAAGGATTGGGACTGGTATTCATGAAGTGCCCAGTCCAGTGAATCACAGGTGGTAGCTGGTATCTTTATTACTTTTTCATCTCCCCAAATGCATTTAGGAGCCCTCCAGCCTCCTAGGCCCTCTGGAGTCTTGCTGAATATAGACAGGACAACTTGACAATGAATCACAGGTTTTCACACATGGCTTGTTCTCCGAGAGGTTGTAAATCCTTAAAGGCAAACCCAGTGGCCCAGTACTTTTTATACTCCACCAGCGAGCCCCACCCAGCCCAAGGCACAACGTGGCCTTCCACACATGACTGATCCTTCAGTTGACTGATTGTTTGGTTTGAGAGGAGTTTGGTGCAGGAGAAACATGGGGAATGGCACTGGAAACTAGATTGAGGCCAACTGAGAAGGCCAAGGGAGGATTTTGACTTGAATCCTGTGACTGTGAGCACTGGAGTGGTCCTAGAGCAGTGGAGTGCAGTCATGGGCTGTGTGAAAAGATCAACCAGACAGTGGTGAACAGCACTGTCATATAGCAAGTGGATGCCAGGTTAGGGGCTAGTATGAGTCTAAGCCAGATCTGAAGGAATGGGGCCTGTAGTGGATGGGAGGAAGGAAAGGCGCTGGGATGTTCAGCTCCAGTGGGGTGTGCTAGGGCGGCCTGTGCTCACATTCTGCAGAGAGGGGCTGGGGAGGTTGCATAGTGTGCCCGTTGCACTCCTGCCCTGGAGCAAGGCAGAAAGAGGTCAGTTTGGAGTTTGGTGCTTTCATCCTATTTGGTTTCCTGACTTTGGGATAGGAGCCCTTGATGTGTATAGTGAAAACCCTGCTAAAAAACTATAGGTGAATCCAAAAAGTATGAAATGCAAGGTCACATTATCGGAAGATTAGTAAAATGGCTACAGCAAGTACACACAGTCACCAAGCTGTGCACTCCAGGAGTCTGGGAGCCAATTGCCACAATATATTAGAATTTTCACTGTTGTGGGATGTGTTGTCACAAGGTTTTACTGTGTCCTAGGATAGACATTTCATGCTTTTTCCCTCATTCCTTCCAAAACCGGCAGGAAGATGAGGGTGGGTAAGCAGAGGCCTCTTCAGGCTCTCTCCTCTGCCCAGGATCCAGGGGCGTATCTCCAACTGCCTCTTTTCACTCAGGAGAATCTCATTCCCATGGGGCACCACGGAGACCTGGCCTGGCCAGAGAGAGACCAGTGCTCCCACGAGGAGGAGCCCGGGGAATAAACTGCTGACTGGCTCTGCAAAGCGGGTGTTTTATGCATGAACCACCCCTTTCCTCCTTCCAGCATGCCCTTCACCCTGCCTTTGAGAGGGATCCTCTACCCCCAACTCACTCACAGATCTCCCCTGGCTGCCCCATGAGCGCAGGGAAGGCCCACTCTCAGCCATTTTTTGCTCACAAGCTCCAGAGATACCTTTTTCACCCTGGACAGCTCCCACTGTGAGACTATTGCACCACAGTGCAGGAATTCGCCTGCCTGCAACTTCCACCATCCATCTGTCCCGCAAGCCCATGGAATGAACCTGTTCCTTTTTGTAATGGCTGCTTGAGACACTGTAGTAAAAAAAAAAAAAAAAAAAAAAAAAAAAAAGACAGACATGGTGATATATTATTGGTCTGATGGCTCCTTCATGAAAAGAACTCTAAACTGCCACCCATTTCTACAGTCAGAGACACACTCTAAGTCTCTTATCCTTGGAGCTTTCATTTTTCCTAAGAGCGTTCCCTGCTCTGTAAGCTTTGAAGTGGCCTTTGGCCAAAAGCAGCAAATGTGGTTCCACTTGAGCCAAAGAGGCAGTTATCCCTTTTTATTCACAAGAAGAGAGCTCGGGCACTGGCCCCAAGAAGTCTCAAGCGTCCCCTCAGGCTGCCAGGGAAGGTGCAGGGCAGGCGTGTCCATGGAGAATCTGGTATCTTCTTCTCTGGGACTTAATTGAGGGCAGGGGAAGCTGAAGGGGTGAGAGGGCTTGGAGAAAGGAGGCTGGAGCCAGCATCTACTCCATGTTTTTCTTCTTTCCTATTCTGCCATGGTTTGGAAAGACAAGACACTTCATCCCTTGGCTTGGGAATCTTGACAAAAGTGGCCCCTGGCACAGCAGTTCTTGACCATGGGTACTCAGCAGAGTTACCTGGGGCCGGGGGGTATTTAGAAGATTCCAGTGCCTGGGCCTATTCCAGTCCAAAAAGCCAAACTACAGGTGGGTGGGCTTTTTGTTTTGTTTGCTTGCACTTTTTAAAGGGTGCCCAGGATATCCTAATTTGCAGTCAAGACTGGGAACTCCTTCTGCAATACTGGTTAGGCTCTAGGTGGAAGAAGGAGCAAGAGGCAAACTGCGTTTCTCCAGAATCTTCTGCATTTGTCTTATATAGGCTGATTCAGGTTTTCTGCCCTTACCCATTTTCTCTGCTGGCAGACGTTGGTTTTTTGATGGATAGAATATTGTTTATTATTATTGTTAGTCACTAGCTATGGCTAATTCTTTTTTCCAGTTTATTTGTGTCACTTCTAAATTCCACATCCCCTGCCTCTAGAGGTTGATACCCCTTTTTGAGGGCTGAAGGAAATAAATTCAGGAGTGGGCTTTACTGAGTTCTCATTGGTTGAATTTGCTAGCACTCCTCTTGATCCCAATGTCAGCCAGTAAGCAGAGTCTCAAAACCAAGGTTGCTGGGACTACTTGTGTACATGTGTTGCATGCAGTCCGATGATGTCCAGTTTGATGGACTCTGCTGATAAAACACCCTCAAATCAAACCATTGATCCCAGACGAAAATATGACCACATTTATCTTGTATAAGTTACTGAAATTGCCCTTGAGTGAATAAACTGGAAACAGATTCCTGAGCAACAGTTGAGTATTCTGGATTCCTGGGTGGGCCAGAGTATACTCACCGGACTCCCATGATTGCCTCGCTTATATGAGGTCATGGGTTGGTCCCGAGCAGCGGATAGTACTGTCTTCTTTGCCCTCCTTTGGTGACAAGGAGAAGCCCCACCCTCTTCTTTGTATAATTAACCTCATTTTTCTCTGGGGCCTGGCAGGATTTATTGAACTCACTGAAAGTTAAGAATTCACCTGACAGGTGACTCTCCCTGAAGCTTCAAGAGATAAGAAAAATTCTACCCCTGAGGAGCCAAAAGCGGCAACTCTTAGCTCTTTTCTTGTTTGTTTGTTTTTGGTGTATCTCTTTAGCCCTAGGCATCTTTGTTCCCTTTGTCCAATGGGACGATCCCTCTGCAAACTCACAGAATGGTGTGAAACTCCCCACCAGGCTCCATCTTCTTTGTAGTCCAGTACCTCCTTCTCCAAAGCCTCTTCTGTTTTCCAGTCTCCAATTTCTGAGCCCCTGCTTAGTGCTCTCTCCAGACCCTCTTCAGCAGACTGGCTCAGAACGGGGTGGAAGCTGGGGACAGGAGCCAGAGGGATCGAGGTATCTCTCCAGGATTGGCAGTGGGCTGAGTGTTGGAGGGACCCTCCTTTTGGCACCAGGATTGGCTACTCTCTGTACTTAGCAATGGATAGCAAAGCCGGATTCCATAATCGCCATAGACTTTTTCTCCCCTTTGGAGTCCTACTAGTGGAGGTTAGATTTTTCTGTTAAAAAATTACACGAAGACATCAAAAGGAGAAAAGGAAGAAAGGAGCTCTGGACTATGAGAAGTGGAGGCATTTGGGGCATGCAACAGTGTGTGAACCAGTATCATTCTGGGGCCACTGTAGAGAGTCAGGGTTGAGGAATCGAGAACTAGGATGTGACCTCCTATAGCTTGAGCTCATTCTCACGATGCTAAACCACTGGACTCTGATTCCTGCCACTAAGCAGCACAAGCATGTGGGTGCTCCAGGTGACCATGGACAGTATCCAGGTGTCTGCTGATCCTGTGCTGTGTTTTGAGGGATGGGCTCATATTCAGTGTGTGAAATCAGACACAACCTCCCATGGGAGGCAGAAGTATGAGGGGGAAAGCGTGGTCAAAAGCTTAGGTCTGGACCCAGCTCCACCACCTCTGATCTGTGTGATCTCAGGAAAATACTTATCCCTTTGCCTTTGTACAATGAAAAGTCTGTGTAGGGGATCCCAGTGGTTCTCAGCCTGACTCCCATTAGAATCACCCAGGGAGTTCTTAAACACTACTTCGCCCCCAGAGAGTGTTGATTGGGGTGGGCTCAGGTATTGGTATGTTTTGAAAGCTCCTCAGGTGATTCTAATGTGCAGCCAGGGTTGAGAATGGCTGGATTAAACCATCTGTAAGGCTTTTTCCACCTATAATGTTTTATGACTCTATGATCATAGCATGTGTCAGGGAGGCACTTCCTCTTTGGGTTCCTGGTAACCACATCTGCCCCTGTGGCTGTGGGTGAGGAGTATGGGGCACCCATATTTGGGGAAAGCAGTGCCATCTCTTTTAAATGTGCAGTCTCTGGAGGATGAGGGTTTGAGTCCTGGGTCAGGTCACTGGGTTTCCCCCAGATAACATGGGGATAGTAACAGTACCTACTTCATTGGGGTGCTGGATTTAAATTAATTCATGCTTATAAAGTGCTTAAAATGATGCCTTACACACAGTAAAGGCTCAATGAACTTCATTATTATCATGGAAGACAAATGGATGGAAAGTGGTGCCCAGAGGGGAGTGTTCAGGTGTGTTCCTGAGATACAGGTGAGACTGGGAAGCCAGTGGGCTTGAGTCCCAGGACGTCTGTCTGGCAGGGCATGCCTGGGGGCCCGGGACCCGTACTGTGGCTGGGACGGGAAGCAGCAACGTTGCAGCACGCTCGAGGACAGCTCCAACATGAGCCTCTGGACCCAGAACATCACCGCCTGTCCTGTGAGAATCCCTTTGTGTCTTCCCATCTCAGACCCCTCCTTCAATTCAGGCTATGACTCCCCACCAATATTCCCCCAATCCCCTGAGATCTTGTGACTTCCCTGCCCTTGCCTTGGGTAATAGGGGTACTGTCCCCCATGCGTGTCTGCAGGTGCGGAATGTGACACGGGATGGGGGCTTTGGCCCTTGGTCACCATGGCAACCATGTGAGCACTTAGATGGGGACAACTCAGGCTCTTGCTTGTGTCGAGCCCGATCCTGCGACTCCCCTCGACCCCGCTGTGGGGGCCTTGACTGCCTGGGGCCAGCCATCCACATCGCCAACTGCTCTAGGTATGTGAGGACAGGGCTTGCATGGTATCTGCCTTGGACCAGGATGGGGAGAACTAGGGAAATGGGGCCCCCTCACTCAGGTGTTTGCACTAAGGGACAGAAACCACTTCAGGGCTGTGCTGGGGACTGGATAGGTGGCTAATATCTGAGGCAGGAAACCTGAGCCCTGAGCGAGTTTCCACGCTAATGAGAGATAAGTTTCTATCTCTTGGTGGCTCTTGATGCAAAGAGGAATGCTGGGCAGACATGGAGGTCACTCCCAGACAAAGGTGAGCCTCAGTAAGTCTCATCCCAAACATGAGGGACAGCATGGGATGGTGGCAAGTCAAGCAAACCTGGTGCCAATCCCGGATTACCACCGTCTGGAGGTGTGGCCGTGGCCTAGCTACCTAACCACTCTGAGTTTCTCTCAGTGAGGGTTATAGTACCCACCCAAGAGTTGTTGAGAGAGTTAAATGAGATGAGGCATATACAGAGCTTTCACAGTGCCTGGTACCTGGGGACTTCATAAAATAACTAAGCCATAATTTCAGGCACTTTTTTTTTTTTTTTTTTTTTTTGAGACAGCATCTCACTCTGTTGACCTGGCTGGAGTGAAGTGGTGTGATCATGGCTCACTGTAATTTCCTGCCTCAACCTCCTGATTAGCTGAGACTACAGGTGCCCACACCACACCCAGCTAATTTTTGAAATTTTTTTGTAGAAACAGGAGTCTCACTATATTGTCTAGGTTGGTCTCGAACTCCTGGCTTCAAGTGTTCCTCCCACCTCAGCCTACCAAAGCTCTGGGATTATAGGCATGAGCCACCACACCCAGCCTTGGACACTCTTAAAACAACTATTTCATACACATTATTAATGTAGTCCTCACAGCAACCTCATGGGGGTAGGAATGCAATCATTATCCTTACTTTAAAATTAAGAGTACTATGAGGCACAGAAGGTTCTGGTAACTTGCCCAGGGTTTCACAGCCAGCAAGTGGTAGAGCCCAGATTTGAAAATTGGAGTCAGAGTAGGCATGAGTGCATAGTGTCTGAGGCTGGAGCAAAGCGTATGCAGTGTAGTACAGGGGACAGAGTGTGGGTTTCGGTGCAAGGATTGTGACCAGCCAGCAAGGCTGAAAGGGAGTCTGCAGACTGGAAAGGGGACTAAGACCTTCTTCTCTAAAGTCTGCCCTTTTGTCCCCTGTGAGTAGGGGCCATGTCCTATCTCTGCGTCCTTAGTCCTGAGCACAACCTGATATATAGAAGAAGGCTCTCAATACATGTCTGAAGGAGGAACAAATGAACAGATGGATGAGCGAGTCTGCCTGAGATGACCTGTTTAGGAGAAGATATTTCTATGTCATTGTCCAGCTCTTTCTGACAGCAATAGAAAATACATCGGCCCAGAGATAGACTAGATCTAAGAAGCTAGGGCTCAGAGGGGCATCTGTCTCTATCCCCTCCCACCCCGCCAGGAATGGGGCGTGGACCCCGTGGTCATCGTGGGCGCTGTGCAGCACGTCCTGTGGCATCGGCTTCCAGGTCCGCCAGCGAAGTTGCAGCAACCCTGCTCCACGCCACGGGGGCCGCATCTGCGTGGGCAAGAGCCGGGAGGAGCGGTGAGGGAGAACGCGCTTGCTCTGAGGTCCCAGACTTTCCCGGCCCCCCAGAAAGCGGCCTGGATTCACCTCGTGATTCCGGGGACTCTCGTCCTTTCCGGTCTTGCATTCCCAGGGATCTCTTGTCAGGGAAGGGGGTCCCCCTCCTTGGATTGACGCCTCTCCCCCGACCCCAGGTTCTGTAACGAGAACACGCCTTGCCCGGTGCCCATCTTCTGGGCTTCCTGGGGCTCCTGGAGCAAGTGCAGCAGCAACTGTGGAGGCGGCGTGCAGTCGCGGCGTCGGGCCTGCGAGAACGGCAACTCCTGCCTGGGCTGCGGC